ATATATATATATATATATATATATATATATATATATATATATATATATATATACCCTGCGTCAAACCAATTTTTTTAAAGCAATTATACCAAACAAACAAGAGCTGGACCTTTTTTTGGTTGTTTGCTCGTAATATTTCTGAGGTTGTCTTTTAAAACATGTACATGCTGGAACATGGATGTTACAACATTCGCAAAATACATTAAATAACGTTGACCTACTTTCTCCCACAATTGTGCCGTTGTAATTACGTGACGTGTTTGGTGTGCATGAGGGGACTACTTTCAGGAAGGAACGTGTGCTACTGATTTGAGGTTGTACTTCGGTCGTGAGAAAAAGCTAAGATGGCGTCTCGTTAAGACGCTAAGGATGGCCTAAAGAGAGTATTGATGTTGATCGGGAAAATGATTTATTACGTCAGTAATTGAGAAAGTTTTCGTATTAAGCGAACACCAGCTTCTCCGTAGTACGCCCGTACCGTAGACAGAGCGGTGTGTATGGAGAACTGAGGCTGAAAACGGCCAACTTTGCTAGCCAGCAGAACTGGACCGAGCACAGCTGGTTAGCTAACCAACAGTCATCCCAACAACAGAGGAAGGAGTGCGGCCACAGTCCTTATCAAACCCCGGGACATCGAGGTGTCTTCGGGTCAGTCACGGGAACGCAGCTAAACACTTTACTGTAACGGACTCGCTTCATAATCTGTTTTTTGTTCATAAAATACTTATAATTGGATATATCGATATTATTATCGTAGTGTTGTAGGTTAGCATATCTGCGGTTACATTGTTGACTTGAGTTAACGTTAGCAAACGGATGCTAGCTGTCTGCACTAGTAGGAAGCTATAGGATGGTGCTGCTAGGAAAATTTGGAGGCCTTGATGCTAAACCAAGCCGTCTTTGGTGTTGTGGCCTTTCGATGCTGAATAATGGACGTTAACACGGGTGGTGGTTATCACTAGGAACAGATTGATGACATTTACATTACAGCCTTTTGTTAATTTAGTTTGGAGGCCTGTTTCTTAACACTTCCTTTTTTTTAACGACTGTCGCTAAAGGTAAGCTTAGTGTTTTACGTCAGTTCTTACAACTTTACTTGCTAACACTGTCAGCTAAATGGGATGATGTGAAGTTGGGTTAAAGCGACATTAAAATTAGATTTTGTGCGACGGGTGAGTTAATATTTGCGTTATATTTTCTTGTTTTTAATTAAGCCCTGCCCACTTATAGGTTTAATGTGTTTCTGGCCTTTTGGTGCAGCTGGGTTCATTGACTCAACGCCATTGTTTGCCTGGAGGCCCGTGAAAAATCAGCTTGATTGTCATTGAGAGCTCATCGTCAAATGGATTATAATTGAGGCTTGTTTTCACGAATAATCGCGAAATATATCTAAGCGTACCTCCAAGCTCCATGTGATTGTTGTTTACTCGTATTTATTCACTAACATTCTCATCAGCCAAACATTTGTTTTTGTTTTTTTTTTTATACTAATTGTTTTGCAGCAATACCCGTAAAGTCTAAGAATTTAATTTTCACAATTCTACAGTAATCTGCCTCTCTTGTTAGTACTAAGTTGTCATCTGCCTGGATTAGCTGGGAGGGCCTGTGGATTGCAGTCTTCAGTTTTGCCCTTCAGTTTAAGAAATTAAATCTATAAGATGATTAGTTTTCAAATACAAGACAGGAAACACCACTGGAATTACAAAGAAACTAGAGATGTAAACGTCTGAATGTTTAAATGGGCTGGTCGAGGGTTTTGAAGTAGACATTTATTGCTGTCAACTCAGGAAGCTGTTGTCATGCAGTTAGATAAGGTTTGAAATTGGCCTAAAAAGATGTAACCTGAACCTGGGCCTACATGTACTTGGGTTTGTGGTTTGTTTTGTTGTGTCTCGTGCTGGGGGAGGGGATTTCCTCCACAATATGCACAATGCATTGCATCCTGGGGTTTTTCCATTAAGAGTCATCGAAAGGACTGTCCTTTAAACATGACTGAATTAGAAAATGTTGACTGTTGAAGGAAACCTCTCTTTATAGTAGAGTTGGTGGTAAGATGAGGAACTAATAATTATGCGCAGCTAAACGAATCTAGTGATTTCCGTAGAAACTTGGTAGCCATACTTTATTTTTTTAGCAAATTTTTCCTTTGTTTTAAATTGCAGAGTTGGAAAACTAACTAATTTATTTGTGTTTTTTGTTTTCTGAAATGATTTAAGAACTGACAGGTTTGTAAACATAGTTTGGTGGCATAGTATTTTAAAATACTAAGCCATATAGATAGCTGCACTTATTTAACAAACAGAAGTATTGATTATGTTGTGGTTGTCTGTTTGGATGTGAAGTCGTTTAACGTGTTTCCCTTTGTGCCCTTCCTGTCATCAGGGAGATGGAAGTGGAAGAGTTTATCCCTCCTCCGGAGTGTCCAGTTTTTGAGCCATCATGGGAGGAGTTCCAGGATCCCCTGGGCTACATTGCCAAAATACGTCCAATTGCAGAGAAGTCTGGAATTTGTAAAATTCGACCTCCAGCAGTGAGTGGCTTGTTTTAGATGATGTTTTACATGTTTTTGGAGTTGCCACCCTGAAATAAATTCTCTCCAGAAATCGTGGCTTTTCTGTCAAGATGCAGCATCAGAACATTTTGGTTCTGTGAATGGAGAGAACCAACAGTTAGATATGTATGCTTTTCAAATAAAAAAAACGAAACAAATTTGTCCTGAATTAAAAATGCATAAGTTTAAATGTAAATTTAGGTCTAAGTCTTTGTCTAAATATACAGATGTTAACATGTAAGATCTTTTTAATATCTACAATAGTGAAATATAGTAGCTGATAGTGAGATATCATGCTTTAAAACCACTCTAACAAGGATGGACAGCACATCTAAACCGGAATTAGACTGAATCCAAGTTCAATTTTAATTGGTGCTACATCCATGGAAGTTTTTGTTGCATCCACAACAAATTTGATAAGGCAGATGTAACAAGTTAACATATGGACATGTTATTCATCCTTAGAAAGCTTAGATTCTCCACAATTCAGCAACCAAGTTAATTTTATGGGCACCATAAGGACCAAAGCACAATTAATAGCAACGTATTAAATCTGAATTTTTTAAATAAAGCTTCAACTTCTTGCCTTTAAAGCGATCCTGTGGTTGTATTATAAATCCTTTCTTAGGTTGATTATATTCCATTTGTCCGTAAGGGTTCATGAATAAAAAGTAATCTAGCATAGTATTAATAAAAACTTTCCATGATGAGAAATTCGCCACAAATAAAAAAATTTTAACCATGAGGAAAGTTAGATCCTTATAGTTAATGCTAACCATCTTGCTAATTACCTTAGTTTCGCCAAACATTTCCGGTTTATCGGGACAGCCCTCGAAGCGTAACAAGTGCCCCTTCTCGGCCGTCATCATTACGCATGCTTTCCCTCATATTATTTCTCATAAAGTCTGGCTGCTATTGGTTAAGTTTACAGGCAATGTTTGGCTCTAGAGCCAATGAAATTACCTTTGAAACGAGGGTAAACATGGCTAATTTGAATGTTGCATCCCGGATATATCGCCGGTTGTAAACTGCGCACAGGCAGATCTGATCCTGGATCATTGCACACGGATTGATAAATAGATGGAAAGTTAGAAAAATGGAAAAAATATATTTTAATAAAATATCATTGTTATAAATTGTTGTGTAAATGAAATATGCACAGATTTGAACAATTTGGCACATTTGTGGAGGTTTGAAGACGCTGGTGACACCACAAGTCCAGATGTGCTTTTTTTAAAAAGACCTATAATTTTCCGAGAAGGAAAAAACAACACCTTTGAGTTAGGTTTGAACTGCTGCAGTTTAGGCTGGGTTTTAATCATACTACTTCCATTTATATTTTTAGAAACTAGGTGTTAGCTTTCAAATGATGTACCACACCTGTAATTTAGGCTTACAGTTCCTTAGTTATTTGCTTTTCTATTTGGATATGCAAAAAGGCGAGGATTACTTAGAATTAGGTGGGTGTTAAGAAGTTTTAACACTCCATTGCGTTTTTTCTTAATCAGGACTGGCAGCCACCGTTTTCAGTGGAGTTGGAAAACTTTCACTTCACTCCTCGCATCCAAAGGCTGAATGAGTTGGAGGTAAGGGTTGTTCATGCACTAAGACTTGTTTTCCAGTTAAAATGACAAAAGCCTACCTCTTTTTGATGAGGGTTGGTTTTATTGTTTGTGTGCTGAGCTAATTTCAAGCATCAAATCAGGGTTTCAGTCAAGGAACTTTACTCAACCTTAATTTGTGTTTGAATTAGGAACTCAAAGGGCTAAAAACTTTCTTTACATCTTGCTGTATCTGCAAAGAGATGCAGGTGTCTGATAGAATTTCTCTCTGATTTTTGCCTTGTGTTTTCATTTTAGGCTGAGACCAGAGTGAAACTCAATTATTTGGACCGAATTGCCAGATTTTGGGAAATTCAAGGATCTTCTTTAAAAATCCCTCATATCGAAAGGCGCATTCTTGATCTGTACAGCTTGTCAAAGGTGAGCAAAGTTCAAGTTTGATCAACGTTTACGATTTTTTGTTGTTTAATAAACATTTTTTCCTCCAGATTGTGGCTGAAGAAGGGGGCTTTGAACTGATCTGTAAGGAACGGCGATGGGCTCGCATAGCTCAGAGACTGGGCTACCCTCAAGGGAAGAACCTGGGGTCTTTGCTACGGTCACATTATGAGAGGATCGTCTACCCATTTGAAATGTTCCAGTCTGGCGCCAGTCTTACGGTATTACTCTACTCCAAGTTGTATTTTTTTTATTTATTCATTTTTCTAATTTTAGATAATTTATGATTAAGAAAGGAAATGCAAAAAAAGAGACTATTGTGTAATAATTAACCCTTTTTTTAATGTAAGTCTATTGTTTTAACTAAAATCCTTCATTATTGTTCCCATTCAAGCATTGCAAGCCAAAGCATTATGATGGTGAAGATGTGGATAAAGAGTACAAGCCTCACTCCATCCCACTGCGACAGTCCGTGCCCCCGTCTAAAACGAGCAGTTATGGACGCAGAGCAAACCGTTGCCAGCCTGATGTGAGTCACAGTTCCTGCTGTTATCTATGTTTTTATATCTACTTCCTTCTGGGATCAGTAACCCTTCAAAGGAAACTATCTTTAACATTATTACATGCGGTCCGACTGCACCTTGCTTCTTATTGATTGTTCTAGTTGGAATATAAATCTGCCATTTGCCCTGAGCAAATTAGAGGAAACAATTTAGTTTCTTTAGCAACACTAGTTTCCCACTGGGTAGAAATCAATCATTCAGATTTATGTATGCTTAAAGTATCATTGATGATTTTTACCTTATAGCTCAAGTTCTGTTATATATTCAGAATATATTCAAATTTTGATCTTAATAAAAACAAACTTTATGCGTTCATAGGTACTAATGAACTTGGTTATATTTTAATTTTTTTTAGCCCAGTGAGTTTTGCCACTTTGAGACATGATTAAATAATTAGGAAAGTTTCTGATGAAGAAATAATAAACAGTAGTTGACCTTTGCAGTGCCTTGCAAAAGTTTCCACAGCCACTGAGGTTTTGCCCCCATTGTCACACGCACAATGTTTTTTCAGTATTTTTCCCTGTGAAGGAAAAAACAACAAACCTTTTTATTTACTTTTGACAGAAAAAAAACAACAAAAAAGGAGGCATGTGTTTGTATTCATCACATTTTTTCCCCTTAAATAAAATTCAGTCCTTCATGTCCTCAGATGTCAACTACTTTGTTCAAAGTTTATTCATGCGTTTCTAATGTAATTTCTGTAATTTTGTTTTTTCTTAAGGCCTTGTTTTTTTTTCACAGTGAACTTTAGTGAATAAATAGATGAATAAAGAGCAAGAAGCTCTATGGAAGAATGACGTTTAAAGGGGAACACTGTTTTCTTTTACATTGGCCCCTTGATTTTACCTTATTACATCATGTTCCCCTCACCTATATTAGTTTTGTGTCATTTTGATTTTTTCCGAAGATAATTCGGTTTTGTAATCCAAGTAACGTCTTCCTATGGGCAACGAGTTGAAGGCACTGCTTGGATATAACAAAACCGAATATCTTCAGAACAGCTCCAAATGACACAAAACTAATATGGGTGAGTAGAACATGATGTAATAACGTAAAATCAAGGGGCCAATGTAAAAAAAAAAAAAAAAAAACGGTGTTCCTTTTAATTCCTGCAGGTAGCAGTGGTTCATGAGGTAGGGCTTTTTCCTGTTTTTGTTTATTTTCAATGTGATCTCTGCAGTGGGAAATTAATAACCCAAAACACCATCCCTACTGTGAAACATAGTGGTGGCAACATCATGCTTTGGTATATGATGGAGCTGAATATAGGATGACTATCAAAACAAGCAGTGGTTCTTCCAGGTATTTACTCAGGACTGGCAAACAATTGCATGTACCTCTTTTTAGACTAAAAAACAAAAGAAACTAAAGATAAATATAGGTGTAATTTTCCTTTTACCTCATTATCTGTTTTTCTAATTGGTCTATGATTCAAATATATTATTCAATTAAATGTGTTGCTCTAAAACATCTAAAAGGGGGAAGTTAAATGGTAGCAAATACTTTCCCCTAAAATGTTGTCAAATCATAAAGGTTGTAGAAAAACACATTTCTGGGCAAAAATCTAATGACAAACACAATATTCTTCCTGTTCTGGTAAATATTAGTCAACAGGTGTCAGCTTCCTGTGAATGGATATTATTACTTGAGGCATGATAGATGCAACAACCATGGCTTCAGCTTTCTGCTTCATCAGAATTGTTATGCTTTTTCATTGGAAGCTGAAGCCTCCAACTTCCAAGCCACCCATGCCTTTGTTGCATGATGGCAGAGTGGCTCTGTTGTTCATGACTGCAGCACATTGCCAAGCATGCTGTCCATGTGTGCTGCTGAGTTGAAAGACGCTTTGAACGAGGATTGAACAAATTGGGACAGTATGTTGATTCATCTAATTTTAGGAAATCACACGTGCGCATATTTGTTTGATCCTTTTTGGGGGTGATCACTGTGAGGCAGTAATTGGAATCATTTCTTTTTTTATGGTTATTTGTGCAGCTTCTCATAACACAATTAGTTGGCTGCCAAAATGCTCCCAACTTTTCCATGTTTTCCAAATGTGGGTTTAAATGGTCAGAAAATTGGATTTGATATTAAACAGAACTTAGATTCAGAAAAAGGCCCACACTCTTTTGTTTCTTTTTTTATCATCATTATCATCAGTAATTGCATTAACATTTCCCACTGAAAGTCAGACACGAACATAGAAGGTTTTTTTCTTGGTTTAATATTACAGAACTATCAGATTCAAGGCTACACTCTCTTTCTTTTTGATTGTAGTGAACTATAGTAGTAAAAACCCCTTAAAGCATTTAACATTCATCATTTGATGTTTGATCAGCTCCCAAATAAATGTATTGGGCAATCTTAAGTAAAGGAGACTGCGCTGTGATTGGCTGTGATGGGAATTATTCTGTGAAGCATCAGATGCATGGTGGTGTTCAGAAAATGATTCAGTGCACTCAGAGCACATTCCAGCTTGCTTGCTTTCCATCTTGCTATGATGCTCTACTCATTTCTGCTGTATGTTTTCTGTGCTTTCGGGTTATTCGGTTCTCGGCTTTTATTCTTATACTTTTCTTTTACTCTTTTTAACCAAAGGAAAAGGAACAGAGGTTTTTTTTCCTAAGCAGGATGATGTGAGAAGCAGTTTTACTCAAACAGCATTTGAGTCGAGCTACATCACGTTACTTGCATGCTAATGCTTGGATGTTGACCTAAATCCCCCTTTTTTACTGTGATGACATTATCATTTCTTTTTTTTTTGCTCTGCTTGGTATTTTATGCACTCTGAATAAACAGGGACAGATGTAAGATAATGCATACCATAAGAAGAAACATTTATACAATTTATGTTATATTCTAGTCCTTGAGATCTAATGTCCTGCACCTTTTAAATGTTTTTGTGCTTCAAGGCACCTGATTCAAATAATCATGTCATTAGCAGGACTTGACTTCATAATCCAGTCGGCTGTTATCTTTTGCAGCCATCTATTTTTACCACAGCACACTGGTATTTTTTTTTTTGATCTAGGCCTACAAGTCCATGCGTTAAATTGGTGTTCAATCAAAATACATTTATTTCAGTAACTGCAAAATCGGTCTTATGTGGATTTGGAATGAAGTACAACCGGTGTATATTGGTCACTTCTGATGCTCATGGCTTTCTGCAAATGTAAACCCAAAATTCAATTTCTGGAACTAAGAATGACTTACAACAGAAAATACTGTAAATAAGTCATTGTGGTCACACAGGATAGTATTAAAGAGGCTGACCGACCAGAGGTCTATTGTTAGGGATAACTGGGTCTACACCCACTCCTGAACCATACATGACAGAAGAATCTTACATGAAGGAGAACGCAAACGACTGCTCATTTTAATCCAAAATCATCTTTTCAGATGAAGGCAAATTCTGCATTTTATTTAGAAATGGAGGCCCAGAATCTAAGTTGCTTAAAGTCCAGTCTGAAGTGTCCACAGTATTTGATGATCCTTGTAGTTTTTTTAGTGTTGCCCCATTCTGTTTTTTTTCTAGGCTAAAATCAGTGCAGCTGTTTAGCAGGAAACACTCAGCACTGTAAACTCTTCCCTCTACTGCCAATTTTTAGTTAGAAATCTGTTATTTTCAAGCAGGACTTGGCCTTTATCCATCTGTCAATGTGACTGATCTGTCAGCAGAGTAGCCTGAACCCATTAGAGGGGTTATGGAGTTATGTTAAGATTAAAATGCTCAACACCAAAGGCTATAATTTTGTTTAGCTGAATGTTATAATAAAAAGCAACCTGGGAACCAACTTTTTTTAAATTCCACTGTATTGTGATGCACCTTTATGGCTCCCTCAGCTTCAGTCTAATGCATCCACTTTTGTAGTTCAGTGAAGGCGTGTTTTAACAATCCGAGCATCAGTTTTTCCACTAATGCAGAACCTAAAGCCCCATTTACACAACCTTTTTGAGATCGGTCTGAGCTCGGTAACAGAGATAACCGTCGAGTGTAAATGGAACGCACAACTGAACCGAACCCTGCCGGATACAACCGAACCGCGCTAAACTAGTAGAAGTTCATCAGTAGGACTCGGCTCGGTTCTGGCTCTGTTCTCGGATGACAAAGAGCGCATGAGCCGGCCGCGTCATCTCCTTACAGTCCGCCTCCGTAATCATGAAATTTCAGACATTATTAAACATACAAGCTCGTGCCACATGATTTCCATTGATGATTCTGCTTAGCAGTGTGATGAACCTCCACGTCTGTCATTGTTTCCTGCGTTTGTAAGCCCTGATTAGACTATCGTGTGTTGTATCCACTTCCCAATAGCCAACTCTGTCAAGTAAATTCAACAAAGGCTGCCTCCTTCGCCTGACTCTCCGTAAACAACGAAATATCACAACCTTAACCATAATCAAACTTCCTGAATGTTAGAGGTGC